AAATTCTGAATAGATTTCAGGTCTTTGATAGAATCTGGAAAATTTCCAATAAGGTTCGCATACCGAGCATAGAAAACTCGAAGCTTACCGAGTCGGCCGATTGAGGAAGGCAATGGACCTGGCTTAAACGGATTTGCAGCAATTTCCAATCGAGTCAACTCGGTAAGATTCGTCAAGAACTCAGGAATTGAACCATTGAGGAGATTGTTAGCTATATTCAGCACTTGTAATTTGGGTAAACGGCCTAAACTTGCCGGAACTTCACCGGAGAAATTGTTTGAATTAACATCAAGGATGGTCAAGTTATCGAACTTGATAATAAACTCCGGCAGCCGGCCAACAAAGAAATTTAAAGAAATATTCAAAAAGTGTAGATGCGAACAGAGTGACCATGAGTCAGAGGAAATGGACTCACCAAAACTGTTATCACCCAGATTGAGTTTCTGCAAAGTCGAAATCCGGCAGAAATCAGCAGGAAAACGACCAGCGATTCCAAAACTTGCAAAATCAATGGACACAACCTGACCGGTTTTCCGATCACACTTAATCCCGTTCCAGCTGCAAGGCGCAATTGGAGCAGACCCATTCCAATCATCAAGCAACCCATTTGGGTCATCGAGTTGGCCGGACTTAACCCGGAGTAAAATAGCGATATCCCGAGGCGATGAACTCGCCGGAACAATGAAGAGAAAAAAACAAACGAGTATCAGAAATTGAAGCTTCATGTAATCCATTGATGACTGAATGAATCTCCCCTACCTCCAAGTCCTTAAAAAGGCAAGAACCGATTAATCATAAACATCTGTAAATGGAGGTTGAATGTTGGGAAGATAAGAGTAAGAAAGAGGTGGGGGGAATTTTTGCATGGATTACAAGTGTAACGGAAGCAGAGTTTAAGGAGAAGAAATAGTACTGAAAGCGTGAAGAGTGTTCACACATTAGAAAAAAGAAGAAGCTAGTACTGGACTCTAATGGCGAAGAACAAGACAAGAGTTACAGTAACTTGAAGCAGAGAGTAATGATAAGGTTTTTGGACTCAAAAAAAATATTGCATAATAAAAATATTTAGTACTCCACTATAATATAGTATGTAGTACTATAAATACAAGGGAATTACTTCTTTTATTAATATTATTACTCTAATTAATTACAAGAGTTAGAAAGAGGGAATGTAAAATCTTGAGTTTAAATTACTTCTTTTATTAATATTACTATTAATTAATTTTCTTAAAGTATGAGTCACACACTCACACTCTTACTTTGACTCAAAAAGAATAAATGGAAATAAAGTAATTAAGTTTTTATCTTTTATTCTTGGAAAAAAAAAATAAGGAATCAAAAAGGAGGATGTATCATTTCAAAATTTGACTATTTAGAATAGTTCCTATATGGCACGAATAAGTAGAAAATTTAGAAATGTGAATGGAATTCTTTAGATTCGAAAATTTTAAATTTTTGGAGACAAGGGTAAGAACTCTTCAACATTACATTATTCGGAATCTAATATTCTTTTCTTACACAAGTTTTAATTGAACGAAAAAGTCTTCTAGAAAAGTTGTCACACTGCTTATAATTTGAGGCTAAGATAAGTTTAGCATATATATATAAATAATGGGGGAGAGGCATAACAAAATGATGCTCCGTTGAAGGTTTATTATCACATTTGGACTAGAATTTTTTGTTATTAACTTATTATTACTATCATATTATATAGAGCCAAAAAAAAGAGAGGTTACTTTTGAAATCTAAAATACTTGTGTGCTCCATCAACTATCAAGTGCACAAAAGATTAGTTTTAATTTGTGTTGTTCTCTTTGGCTTTGTTTTTATTTTCCTGGCAAGTGTTCCCAATTTTAGAAAAATAGTATCCAGCAAACTTGTTTTTCCATGAATATTTGGACATGGACCCGTTAATTAAAGTAATTAGCTAATACTTGCATTAGTTATAATGATTGCTTCATTAAATTGCTCTCTATTTCTCTTTTAAGTAAGGAAAAATTCTTTTAGAGAGTAGTATTACATCCGTCTACTTTTGATTGTCATAGTTTCATTTTTTAGAGTCAAACAATAATAACTTTGACTAACATTTTATGATGTATTTTTTCATCATATTGATATGCAAAAAAAATTGAAATTTATAGTACTTTTCGTATAATTTTTGAATATCTAAATTTTTTGTTTAAAATATTGAATTAATGTAATCTAATTTAACTGTGAAAATTAGTCAAATTGACTTTTGAAAAATGTGACATGACAATTAAAAGTTGGAGTAATATCCATCATTTATTACAAAAAAAAAAAAACTTTAAAATGGATCAAAGAGATATTTTATTAGAATTCGAATTTCTTGAAATAATCTGTTATTTTAGAAATGAAAAACGAGAATTCATTATTTTCCTTTTTTCTATTTATTTATTTCATTTTCCAATATTACTGTAAAAATATAATAATTTCATAAAATTTATTGTAAAAATATAATATTTTCCAATAGAGAATAAATCGTTGTTTTCTGGAATAAATAAATTATATGCTTCATGCCGGCGTCAAATCATAAGCTATATAAGAAAGCCATTACAATTGACGGATTATTATGGAATTTTGTTTAGACTAATATAGTACTAATTTGGTTCCCATATTTGTATTCTTCGATAGATTTAGGAATTTAACTATCACTTCCTAAAACTAGCCAATTGATAAATGATTTTAAACATTATTATTAAACTCATTTTTTCCTAGATTGCATTAGGTAACTTGAGCATTTTAATGACCCGCGCTTTATCTCAATAAATAATACTAACAATAACAATAATTTGGCATTGACATGATGCTGATATCATTGTTGCATCATAATTATCCACAAAGACCACTGATTAAGATATGAATGGTCAGTGGTCAAAGTTAGGAAAAAAGATGATTGTTAAGTCAGTTTTTTAACTTCTCAACTGTTTGATAAATATTAAAATAATTTAAAATAAGTTGAAAGATAATTAAAAATAAATAAAAAAGTGTTTGACAAGGTTAAAATAACTTAAAATAAATTTAAAATAACTTAAAATAAGTTCAAAATCAAAAGTAGGCCTCCCATACATTTTACTTTTAAATTTAAAAATCGTTTAAATTTAACTTTTTATTTTCAACTTTAAAACTGTTTTTTTAAGTCAATCCAAACCAGCTCTAAAGCTTTTTACTATGTAGGATTGGGAAAAAGACAGAAACTCAGGAGTCAAAGTTATATTTAAACACTTATAATTTATTTTTAGGGAAAAAGGACAAATATACCCCTGAAATATCGTAAATGATATGCAGATACCCTCCGTCATACTTTTGAGACATTGGTGCCCCTACCGTAAAAAAACTAGAGCATATATGTTCTACACTCTAACGGAAGACTAAATAGGGACACATGACACAATCTTATCCGTCGATCCGATATTTAATAAATATTTATGGATAAGATTATGACACGTGTATGTCTGTTAGTATAAAGGGTATATATGCTCTAATTTTTGGACGGCAGATGCACCAATGTCCCAAAAGTATGACGAAGGGTATCTGCATACCATTTACGATAGTTCGAGGGTATATTTATCTTTTTTCCCTTATTTTTAAATTCATTTTTTACTATTGAAGTTGTTGTTCAAATTTGAGATATACATTTAAATATAAATATCATTTTAAATAGTTTTTACAAAAAAATATAAGCAATATAATTTCATTAATAAATATTTGAAATTTATAATCTCGCCTATTAAATATATTGTAATTGCATAAAAGGGACATGAGATGTCAGTTGACATTTATTAGGAAAAATTATATAAATACACAACTTAAGATATTATAATCTCTAAAATTGTCTATCATTTAAAAAAATTACAAAAATCTCCTCTCGAATACATCCATATTCCCTCTTGGATACTTGTCTATCCTCTCGGATACGTCCCTATACCCCTCGGATTCATCTCTATCCCCTCTCAGATACATCATTCCCATTAAGTAATGGATACATTCATATGCCCCTCGGATTCATCTTTATCCTCTTTCGGATACATCTCTCCCATTAAGTAATGTATCATTTGCAACGTATCGGACAACCAATGAATATATTTGAAATAACTACAAAATCTGATTTTTTTATAATTAAAAAAATCTTCGAAATAACAGGTAATTAGCCCCAAATGAATTGGATTCCTATAACTTATACTTCATATCAACGGCACTGCAATTGAATTTTAGCATATAATCTTTGGTGTATTAAAAAAAGCATACGTCGAAGTGCAAAGAACGTGATGCTATCTTATAAGTCTCGTGGTACTCGTGATATTCACATATCATAAGAGTGTTGGTGTATGCTTTGATATTTGAGACATATTTTAATTGGACAGACATTATAATTGACGAAAAGCACATCTTCTTTACAATTATACGATTTTTAACTCCATGACTATAGCAAATTCATCTCATTTTTCACTAATAGGTAAAATAAAAAATACTTTTCAACTTTTTAGAAATACATATTCCAACTTATTATGTTTTTTAAGACGTTTCGAAATTATAATTAAAATAGATGGAAGGGGAAATCTTTTCGAGAGACCTTAATCAAGCTAAATCCTGGTTTTGAGTTGTAATAAGTTATTATATCATATTATATTTTTTTCTCAGTTTAAGTAGTATTTAATAAAAGAATTACGATTAAAGTATTATACTAACTAATTGAGAAGTGAGAAGTATCTACAGAAAACATTATCCAGAAATGGGTTTCAAGAGCCAAAGTCTTAAAAGTTGTGTGAAATACTTTTTTCTTCAGTTGTTGTGTGACAAATACTTGTATTATTATTATACAAAGAGAAATGAAGGTATTTTGAAAGAGACAAAACAACTAAACGTCGCCGTGACGAGTAAGTTGATTAGTACAATCTTTAATATAATCTTATACATATAGGCTTTATTTATGGTTTAGCATAGGCATTAGGGTTTAGAAAATGTTAGCGTGAAAGTGGGAGTTCTAATTATATATGCCTACTTTCAGTGAATGATATTTGCCACTACGTTGCTTTAAAAATATTAATTAAAAAAATATTTTTTCAAATGATAAAAATAATCAATTGTATCTTAATTTATTAAAATAAATTATGTTTAATAAACACGATAATTAAAATGAACCGAGGAAGTATTGGTGGAGTAGAAGAAACGGTTCATCTAGAGTCTATCTAATGCTCTTTTTTATTCGTTTGCACGTGTCAACAGTCTCTATTAGGCAAAATTTATACTTTGGAGAGAAGCAGTCATTTTTAATTTTAAAAAATATTGAATTATTTCTTAAGCATGAACACTTGTGTATAGAAAAAAACATTTATCTGCTCCAAAACTACATTGAACTATATGAACAATTGAACACTTCCACATTTATCTGTTTATTAATTTGTAACATATTATTTAATTTGGTTTGTGGGCCTTCCGAAGCTTAGGAACCAAATTCTTGTTAAGCTTAAGTGAACAAGTCGATGGTGTTTAGATTGACTTAAAAGTTAGTCAAACTTTCTTGTAAGTCAGTTTTTGACTTCTGGTGGAAGTGTTTGACAAATATAAAAATTAACTTAAAATAAGTTAGAAAGTGTTTGACAAGGTCAAAAATAACTTAAAATAAGTCAAATTTTTTAATATTTTGACTTAAAAAGTTATTTTAGTTTGACTTTTTTTTATTTATTTAAAAACTACTTTTGAAAGTCAATCCAAACGAGCTCTAAGTTGAGTGACTTTCTAAGTGAATTATTCAATGTTGAGTGATCATCTGAAATATTATCTCATTTTTACTTGTTTAATATTTTATTTTACACACTTTATGATGAATTATAAATAAAACAATAATTTTACTATATCAATCATTAAAAACAATTAATTAATTAATTTGAAAAATGATTATAGTTAATAATAAGAATAAATTAGAAATTAAGTGATGAATTATCTCTTAATTTTAAAAACAAAATAAATTGTTATTTTTAATATAATGGACCAATAAAAAGGAATAAGAGTATCTTGCATGATAAATTGACAATTGGATAGACACATTTCAACAATCACAAAAAAGGGAAAGAAGGGATTGGTAGCTCAAAAGGGAAGTGATAATTAGAACTTAGAAGTAAGTAGTTGAACTATAACAATGACCCCTTCTAGGTTGCTGCTAATCTATCCGTCTAATTTTGTTGCCACACAAGTCAATGATGAATGATCATTTAGTAGTATTATATATACTTTAGTCACATGCTATATCATATTATATCCTATGACTAATACTGAACTTTCAAAAATATTATTTCAGTCATTCTTTTCAATTGTTTATGGGCCAGTTGAATGTTGATGGACCCCTGGCTATGGAGATAGAAACTCTCAAGTCACCTAGTTACTGGTCCTTTAAATTTAATAGTGGTGATCTTCTTTTGACCAGAGTAAAGCACGAAAAAGCTTTTTTTTTAGTTCCACATCAGTGTGGGACGAGGAGAATTTGAACTTTTTATACAGTTTTGAACCATCTTTCTTAATGAGCTAACTTTTGAAATTAAGTTATATCTGAAATCTATTTAACATACTTGGTTTGAACAGAAAATGAGGAAAAATAAAAGGGAAACTTATTTTCTCTTTTAGAGTTTCTCTTCTCTTTTAGGGACTAATAAATTTTAATTCGTAAGAAAAAAGATCTTTCTATTAGTTTATCTTATTCTTCTTGAATTACCACAAAATTAATAAGGTGATGATTCGTTTTATATATATATTTCTCCATTGGTTTTCTTTTCCCAGCTAAAGCAAAAGGAGAAGAAAAAGAAATTTGTACGTTTTGTGTGTCCTACTTCCCAAGCGCATTACAAAGGCAATAAAATCTTTGCAAAATTCTCAATTTTTTAGTGAAGTGTAACAAAAGGTGAATGTGCTTTTGATCAGCCATTCACAATATGCCTGAATGACATGCTTAAAGTACTTTAAAACAAAGACTTAAGTAGTTGTGACTTTTGATAAACAAACAAAAATATCCGAACGGAAAATGACTTTTGCGAAATGATTATTTCATCTTAGTCAAATAATTTAGAAGAAAAAAATAATCAAATAGATGCATCAGACATGAACCATGGCCCATATTATCACTTCTCTTATAATTCTTTAATATCACATCAGCAGTCAATGTTGACTAATAGTGAGCTTCATATGCCTCGTCTTTTTACTCTTCTCTTGGAGTTTAGTACCTATGGCAACGGGTATGATCTAGGGGGGTGTATTCGAACTTCTTCGATATAAGATTGATGATATATGTACTGTATTTTGTTATTATTAGTTTGTATACGATAGATTTCAAATCTCTAAATATAAAACTATATATTGACTTAGAGATTTAAGGGTTTAAAATTTACCTTGAGACTTCAAATTCAAATTATAAATACTATATTTATTTTTCAAACCAAAATATTGAATTCGCTACTGATGGCAAAGTTGGAGCTAGTCTGGGAATTTTGGAAAAAATTCTTGTTTGGATGTGAGCTATTATAACACTAGAACGTGTAGTTAAATTTTTTCCAAAATAATAAAAAGGACAAATTACTTAACTACACTCCTTTACTTACCTTAATATCCATTTATCCCTACTTATTTCAAAATTTTCAAAAATCCCTTATTTACCTATGTATCCCGCATGTATCCCGTGTACAACGCTATGTATCCCACATGTATCCCGTGCACAACGCTATGTATCCCGCTATGTGGAATGTATCAAACCTAATGTATCTCGTGCACAACGCTATGTATCCCGCAAACATCATTTTTAAGGGATTTTTTATAAATAGAAAACTAGAAGGGATAAAATGTTATTTAGTACTTATAAGATGTGGTTCCTATAATTTATAGGATAAACTACCTTATTAGACATACATCACTATTATATATACTAATATTATCTTTACTTTTAAACAATTACATATATTACCACTTTTAGTATTTTATACCATATATTAATATATTATTTGAAAATACTATTAGATACCCACATCCCTTAAAACTATTATTGATTAATTATCTGCTTAAATAACTCTTTCACTCCAAATCAACCACTATCTCTTAATTCTCCCCTCCCATGTTTATCACTCAATTATGTCTCCTCCTTTCTGATTCAAGAATTTCACCTTACAATTTCATTTCAACAATAGTTAATCTACTCTCTTCTTCTCAAGATATCATCACCACAAATTCTCCTGAACCCAAATATTATTTTGTATTGTTCATTTATCACGAATTCCAATCACAATAACTGCTACAGAGAAAACTTTCAATTCATAGTGGGTCTTGATTGTTTGTCTCCGAAAGAAATGGATCTTAGTTTTGATTATGTTATGTTACAGTGCAAAAGGATCAAAGGGAATATTATAGAGAGTTTTTGTTTGCTGGTGTTCTTCTAAGACTTTCTTTGGTTACTGTGATATGGATGCAGTAGTACCAATATTACTTTGATATAGCCCTTGAAACATGTGTATCCAATAAGTAGTAATCTTAATTAAGATCCGAGTTGTATTTTTAGTAATGGGGTATTTGAACATGTATATGTATCCACTATATATTAAATTTCGGATACGTGATTTTTAACAACACAATGATATTAATGATACGACAGACACTCTACAGTCGTGATTTGTTCATAGATTCATGTATTTCAACTACATTTCATATTTAGATACACATAATTAAATGTATATGATTATTATGTATTCGAGATACATGTTTTTGGATATAACGTATGAAATTTAGATACACATAATTAGATGTATATGCTTCTTCTTTTTATATATTCCATATTTAGATACACATAATTAGATGTATATGTTTACTATGTATTCGAGATACATGTTTTTGGATATAACATATGCAATTGATACTTGATACATCAAATTCATACTAGATACATATAAAAGATACATGAAATTAATATTATATATATATATATATATATACATAAAATTACTAGATACGTATAACAAATACATGAAATTAATGTTAGATACTTCTATGATACATATGAATGTACTTGTATGACACTCATGTATCTAAATGTTTAGTTTGTTGGATATATCATATATTGATAATAGATACATCAAATTAATGAATTTATTATTTTAAGAGTAGTAATTTGAAATTAATCAAATTACATTACCAAGATATACATGTTTTTATCTTATATTAATAATATTAATGAATTTACTATTTCAAAGAATAATAAAATGAAATTAATTATCTATGTATTTTGAAAATCCTCAATTACTCCTCTAATTAAGGAAATAAGCTACAACCAATTAATTTAAATAAATAAATTTTGTATCTCAATTTTAAAATTCGACAAATACATGTATCTCATGGATTCAGACTCATGTATCCTAATCATAAAATATGATAGAGGAAGTAATATTTGAAACTATTGGGAATCTTAATAATTAAGACCTAAACTAGTGGGATTTATGTGATTTGCCCTAATTTATACTAATAAAATTCTGCTGTTGATCCCGAATGCTCAAGCCCAATAATAGCTTACGCACAAGTATCCCAACTTGGGGCCCAAACAAAATGAAAAACAAGACTTGATAACCATACAGACAGGTCCTGGATAACATTTCCTATTGGACCAATCTGGGTGAGGGTCATTTGCAATTTTGTCTCTATATTGTGCCAGTCTTTAAATTTTTGCTAACCATAAATATCTTTTTCACACTACGTTTATATTTTTATATCATAATATCTCACAAATTATGTTGAGCTTGTGCCCGATGAGTGTTCGATTGCTAAGGGTAGAAATTAATGAGCAGCTTATTATTTAAAAGGAAAACAGTGCCACCAAACCAAACCAAATTAGTATTGGGTGAGTCATTAGTATTCTCGGTATTGGGTAAAAACCAAACAAAACCAAATTTTAGTTGATCTGTTTTTCTCGATTTGACTTGCATTATCAATTTATAGTGATTTATCAAATTTCTTAGTACAAC